CAGAATCACAGAATCACAGAATGGCCTAGGCTGGAAGTGACCTTAAGGGTCATCTAGTCCAACCTCCCTGTTTTGGTCAGGGATACCACCTCTCGACTAGACCAGGCAACACATGGGGACTGAGCGGGAAACAAACCCACGACCTTGGTGTCGTCGTTGTCAGCACTGCACTCAAACCACTGAGCTAACCGGCCCCCTCTAAAATCCACCTGCAAAAGATTTTTATGTTAACAGCTTTTGTTTACGACCCTGAGCACCAATAAATGCTGCAGCACTATTTTTTCACGTACTGTAGATTCTGTCTCTTGTAGCAATCAGGAAAAAAATAATAAATATATCAGATTTTTTGTAGATACAATCTGAGATGCTTTTTATCTACGATTGAGATTAATTAATCCTTCAGTATTCAAAAACATCCATTAGTGACCTGAGAAATTTTGAGTCATATTATGCGTGTTAATGAAATCAACCTTGTGGCACAAGAAAAGTATATCCTTCCCTTAACCTTATTTTTTTTAAAAGAAAAAGTTTCATCCCAGCACACAAAATGCTTGGTAATCGCTTTTATATAAAAAATGGCCAAGCTCCCAATGAATTTCTCAATGACATTCTTAGTTTACAGCAGTTATAAGTTGAATTCTACACATGGAAACATGCACAGAAATTTAGCACTGTTTGCAGTTAAGGGAAAAATATGTGAAAGGATCAAGACAGGTTATTGCCACATCTGACAAATCAACAGGAAAAAAATTTACAAATATGAAACATCTATAGTGTCCATAAAACAGGTCTAGAGAAATGTTTGGTCATTGTATGACATCTTCAGCAGTATGGCAAATCTACATCTTAAGTGTAATCACAACTAAAAGATTAAAATCAATTCTTTGTTCACAGACTTTAGAATATTGTCCAATTCCAGACACATACAGCCTTTAGGAAACCTTAACTTTATTAGTTCTCAAAAACCACCAGCACATTCTAAAGACATATCTGAAATTTCAGAAATTATTATTAGACCAAGATGAAGTTCTTGTAAAACATCCATTAAATATTAAAGCACTATTTAAATTTCTGCAATGACAATTTCCAAAATCAGACTATTCAAATTATAAAGGACCTCTGATCCTTAGATTTGCTCTGTCTCACTTAAGAACCACACTTAGCAGATGTAGCTACCTTTCATATCTCAGGAATATGAGAAGAAAAAAAAAAGAGTATCAATGCAGACATCAGTCTAGAACTGATAACATTTTACCAGGACCATTTCCAACAAACGTGAGACTACTGAAACTACTCAGTGCCATAATCCCCTGAACTTAACTGCTTGGACAGTCAACTTGTGGAGAATAAGAAATTTTACGAAAACTGAATTTCCTGTTGATTGCCTTACAAATCAATTTAAAAGCTGTCAACTATTTTTTTGACATTTAGTAAGTTCTGGAATTTTACACTTGTCCCAATACAGCCATGCATTTAGAAATAACCTGAAATCTATTTTGAATAAATATAAAACTTACTCTATACATAGGTACAATAATTATTCTACTATATATGAATATGACTATCTTAAACCTATTGCCATGTCATATTATGCTTTACACATCAGTTATTTGTTCCAGACTATAAATGAACTGATAAAAACAGCTTTGCTACTTATGCTATAAATGACAGAGAATGTGAAGTGGAAGGTAGGACTGTGACATTATCATCTGATATCACCTCGCAAAATAGCTGGTAAATTCTAACTGACAATCATAATAGTTCTAAAAACAATGCACGTGCTCTATATCACAAGGTTCTAAAAAATGGTAGCCTGTACTCTTTAGTTAGGACTAGTTTGTGGTGAAGCTGTAGTGCTCGGCGGTATCTTGCAAATATCCTCCGTGAAAGAACATGAGAGGTATTTAATGATGGTTTTCTGAAATTTTTGATACAAGAGATCATATCATAAGTCTTCTGAGGGACAATTTTCACCTCAGCAAAACAACAGGAATCTTAGATGTATGACCAATGTATAGAAGCAGCTTACTCCTGAGGGGTTTTGCAGTAATAATGTTATCTTTAAGTTGAATCTGAAGAGTTTGCTATTGCAAGTTGCAGCTACATATCATGGCCACAAGCCACTTTCCATGCACAAGGGCTCACGTATCAAGGCCAGCCCTCACTAAATGCATAATCATCATAGAATCATAGAATGGCCTAGGTTGGAAGGGACCTTAGAGATCATTTAATCCAACCTCCCTGTCATGGGCAGGGACGCCACCTCTCGACTAGACCAGGCAACACATGGGGATTGAGCGGGAATCAAACCCATGACCTCGGTGTTGTCATTGTTGTCATCACTGCGCTCAACCCACTGAGCTAACTGGTCCCCTAAAATGAACTGTTATTTATTTCATGCATTACATTAAATAATTTTCAGTATATCAACAGTCCTTGTACTTGATCACAAACCACGAGATTACTAAGAGCCTAGCTACATTTGTTCCTAAGGTATTATCTGAGTATTGCAACTGTTTCCAGTATTGAAGAATACTCAAAATGTTTAGAATAATCATCTCCTATTCTAATTTCCCAAGTTGTTTGGTTTTTGGTTTTTTTTCATTCCATTTTGTTTGACACATCAAATTAACAGTCTGATCAAGTTCTGCAAATAACTGTCATAAAAGCAGTCCTTTGATAACCAGTGAGGAGAAAAAGCTAACGTATGATAAGTAGCAAATGCACTGTCTGTACTTTTTTCTTGAGGACTTTCAGTTTTCAGAAATAGAGTCACACTTTTTATACATTAATAGAAGTTTAAATTGTTTCATCTTTGACAAAGGTTAGATAGGTTTTCTTTAAGAACATGCAGTTCAAAGTTTTTTTGTAAAAAAAAAGCCTTATGGGAAATTTACATGGAACATTTCTATAACATTTATCTCTACCAGTCAACAGGTACAAACTGTACACATTTTCAACAAATATATCTGACAATCTGAAAAAAACAGTCAGGCTAACAGTTCACTGAAGAGTGACATAAGTAACTTATTAGGAAAATAACATTCTTTTCAGGAAAAGAAGAATTAAAATATAATCAGGATGAGTATTAAATAACCATTTCCTTTTCTTGGCTAAGTAGAATATGTTTTGCTTTTATAAGGCAGAAGAAACTAAATATACCTTTAACTCAATGAATTCTCTTTTAAATTTCACTTTACACCACAAAAGATTAGAATGGCATTATAGACAACCTTATTTTTGGTCAAGTTTCCTGTTCTTGCAAATAGAGCAAGTTTCAGATCTTTTTCATTTTCTGTAGTTCTTAGATCATGATAAATGAACTTTACTAAATATTCAGTTTTAAATGACCTTTTGTAATAATTTCATATTTTAAATTTGTGGTGTTTTTTCCATTGGAGTGATGTACAATATTTTTAGTATCTGCCAGTCTTACCAAACTCTGTTGAAATATTGTTTCTTAAAACCACATCTAGTTTTAGTAGATGTATTGGGTTGGCTCAGCCAGATTTTGG